TTAACTCATTGTCGACTGATGTCGATTTGTTGATTTTTGAGCTTTTTCGACCCTAACATCTTGATAAAATAATTGACTTCCATATAAGGTGCTGTCAATAAAACTATTTCGGATTTGAATTCCCTAGGGAGCATTAATTTATGCAGGGCTTTGTAAATTTAGGTCAGACCGTTTGTTTATCGACTGGTTGAGCCTAAATTTACCTAAAAACCCGTTTATAAGTGTTTTTTTGAGCTTTTTGCTGCCACAGGAGCCCCTAGGCTTGCATCATTAAGCTTGACTAGTCGGCAGAGACAATCTTCTGGAAGAAATCAGAGGTGGAAAGCGATTTTTCGAAGACAATGGCTCCAAGTCACGGTTTGTTTTGAACTGGAGACATCATTGTAAGATCGCTTTCCTGGTCCATCTGTGGCAGATTTTCCAACCTACCAAGGTAATTTTGGCAATATTTGACAACCAAAGAATGCAATTGGCCCGATATTTTGCCTGTAGGTGCGGGGGAGCTCACACTTATAAAAAAATTCTTAAAAGAAGAATGCTGCACGATTTATGTCCAAATTTTCCGTCTTCCCATGATGCATTTCGATCGTGCATAGAAGTTTGTTATACCTGGTCTTCAAAAGAGGGCTGTTTAAAAATCTGCAGTGCATTTGACAAAATAAAAACATCGAAATGAGGACGTTCTATCAAAGGGGTTTGCAAACCAAGTGGACTTTTTGCTAGGAGAACATATTTTGACGCTACAAATTGAGATGAAAATCAGTGTACTCTGCCGTCCTTCAAACTCAGATTTTGGCATTCATTTCAAAGCAGAGTCATGTTTTGTGTCTTTTGTTTCCTCGTTGCGAAATTCTTTTAACTGTAAGATCGACAGTATCTACTAGTAAGTTCGTACGAGCAATTTCAGGGCTCTAGCTTACTATTTCGGCAACTTATAGACTTTTGACGCATAGGTCGAATTCGACCTAAATTTCAAGGGGCAGACGGGAAAGAGTTAAGTCATCAAACCACAGCTATTCTTATTTTTTAGTGCTGAAGCTATCCTATTGATTTCATCAGGTGTAGTTGGGTCAAAAAAACAGCTGTTTTGAAAGTCTCCTTTTAAGTAGTCTTTAATGTTTATGCTCGTGTTTTGTATTTCTCTTGACAAATTTTTTCCAATAGTTTTAAARTATTTTGCAAATTCACTGGATATATCATGGCAGTTATTACTATTGACACTTATTCCTTTGTCATCTAATTTGAAYGTTTTAGGATAATTGTTCTTTCGTTTGCTTAAATTTAGCAAATTCTTCAAAATTTTCCAAGTTTGTTTGATATCTGATTTTGACTTCACTAATGTGTTTGAGTAATATGCAGTATATTTGCTTTTCTCAGTAAGCTATTCAGCTTGTTTCGGTATTGTTTAAATTTTGCCTGATTTATGTTTGTTGGCGAATTTATAAACTTTTTGTACAGTGAGTTTTTTATCTTCTTCGAAGCTGTTGTGATATCTATTATGATCAGATCGTTGCAGACAGTGACGATTAGTGATTATCATGGTTCGACAGTTCGTCAGCTCGCTGTATTCCATTTTATACTTAATTGATCATATTACTCTCAAATGCCCAATTCATAGACTTAATAAATGCTTTTATAGGAAGAATTCAAGGTGAGGTAGCGAAATACAGAATGATTTGAGTGTTTTTCTCGGTGATATTTTCACTTCCGGCGGCAAGTTGTTTATTTTATGAGCCAATCAGAGAGCGAGAAATTTTCGTGTATTCCAGAGCCACTTAGGTGTGTTCACACTAGACGTTTTAAGTAGGTCTAAAGTATACTTAGGTCATACTTGAACCATTGTTGTGTGTGAATAACGGTTTTAAGCTGAGTTGTGATTAGCTCAAGTAACATACTTAGCCGCTATAGTTACGTCGCTTCTTCAAAAGAGCCGAAGTACGTTTTCAAGTATAGGCTTCACTATACTTAATGCATGCTTACGCCAGGAACGTCAATCATGAATCGAACTTGTTAA